TTGGCAGCTTTGCTCTCAGTGTTTTCTGCAGGAGACTTATTTTGGATTACATCTCCAATATCACAGTTAAAAAAAATAAAATATTGGGTGACTCAGCACGTGGAATAGGAGTACAAGTGCATCATTAGCTAAGGTGTACACTGGCATCTAGAAGAGAATATAGCTCAAACCGTTGGTTACATATAAAGGCATGTTAAATACTCACCTGAAATATTCACTGTACAAAAGTAGAATTAAATACAGATCTCGGGTTTTCATGATCTGACACAGGTGATAGAGCACTCTTCAAAAGAGAACATTCAAAACAAGATTTTAAGGACTCTTACTGAGAACATAAAGTGCATATCACTGCGGAAGACACAGATGGTAAATACTAAGCCAAAGGATATCTTTAGATGTACAAAATGCCTTTCTAATAAACTGAAAGGAAAAACCCTAATACAAGTAATAGGAGAAAGACAAGGGAAGATCTGTATTTAATAATATCTCCAGAGAACAAGAATTACAGTTGTGTAATTTACTCTTTCTCCTGAAGAAAGTAACTACAGATCTTCTTTGACAGAATCTATAGGGTAAGGATGAATAGCTTTTCAGAATCCAAAAGGCTGAACATATATGGCTGTCTTCAGCCTGAAGTCAAGAAACAGGAAGAGAAGAATTTGGTCCAGCAGTTTATCTTCCAAAACGGGAAAAGAAAGAAAGGGAGTTGCTCCAAATAAATAAATAAATAATGCACTTTAAATTAAGATACTTTTGTCATTACAAAATAATAAATTTTGCTGGAACAATTCAAGTTGCTAAAAAAGAGAAAGTAAAGGTCATTTTGATTAAGAGAAAAAATAATGTTCTGTATTTGTAGTTTATTTGTATGGTTGGAATTTTTCACTCTCTTTCATCTTTTTGTATTTTTTGTATTTTCTATACTGTGGAAAATCTGCATTTTCAGGGGTGCACAATTAATAAAAATATTAGTGATTAACAGCTTAAAAAAACCTGATCTTATCCCTGTAAAATAGCCCTGGCAGGACAGGTATGTCAAAACTCTTCTTCCTTTGCTTAACAAGGAACAGATTTTCAGCAAGCTTTTAACTTGCCATTCCTTTTAGCAGGTCCCAGGTATCATTCAGCTAAGCTGCATTTTTTTTTTTTTTTTTTTAAGAACAAGAACGATTTTGCATTGTTCTGTCACTGAATAATAGCTTGCTTTACTTTATTCTATATGAAATAGAATAGTTCTACTTAATGCTGAACCATCGCAATAGTTTCTGTATGAAATACTATATAGAATGCCATAAAAGGAGGTGCTCCCTTTTTATCTAGTTTCAAAATCACTTGCCAAGAGTGACTTTCATTGCTGTGGTGTTTGCCTTGGTTCAAGGAGAAAATCTACAATGCAGAAAGGAAAAGAAAGAAAACGTACTAGAGCACCTGTACTTATATTTGAATATGTAAAGGGGAATCTGCTTTTTTCAGTAGCAGTTTCTAGAAATTTAAAATTTTGAAACTTTTAAAAATGCACAGAGGCTTTTCTATAGCAATTAATATGGCACCTGTGCATGTCACAGCTTTCTGCTTTTATCGTCAAAGCACTTCTAATTTTAAGGGAGTTTTTAGGTAGCTTTTTTCCCCCTTAAGCAGATAAAGCAAACTTTGAAGTAGAGGGAAGAATCAGGCCCGGTGTTGTGAAAGCCTGACAAAGAGTTTGAGAAGTTTTCAAATCTTCACACTTCACAGTTTTCATGTTTTTCCATACTCAAATGTGAGGTAACTAAAGTTTTCATTATACACGTAAGGGACAACATGATTTTCTGTTGTTACTTAAGTTATGCAGTTTGTGTAAAGGTGAACTGGTTTAACTTTTCAAAGACTGTTAGCTCTGCCAAGGCGGTGTGATAAGTCCAGTTTCAACCTTTTCTTTCCTTAAGAATTAAGAATTCGTGAGAACTGTAACAGATGCTTGGAAAACAATTCCAAAAAACAGCAGAGGTGAAAAGGTCCTGGCTTCTATGGAATTTGAGACCACCTTTATATTTTATGATACAAGTAGCATAAAATATAGCTAGGATGAGATATTTGTGAAATCTCACATGCTACTAGTCTGCTGAGAGGTATCCAGTAAGGAAACTGCATCCATTTAGAGAAGGCATGAAGTATATTTATAAGGCAACAAAATAGCTAAATGAATACAAGCAGACAAAAAAAAGAGAAAGTAAATCAGAATTACATAGCCGGTCTCCTTGACCTAGTTGTATGAATTTTTCATGCAGTTTTTTTTTTTAAAAGTAAATTCATGCAAGTGCGGCATGAAATAGAGGTGTCTCAAGATTTCAGTATGAGGAATCAGTGGTTGGAAATCCTTTCCTTGGTGCCAAGTCTGAATGCCCTGTTTTAAGAGAGAGAGCAAAAGAGAAAGAAGTATCTGCAAAGAAATATACTACAGAAAGAAATATACTGCAAAGTTTCTGTCAGTTTGGATGATTTCTTATTGCAGTGATACAAGTGATATCTGTCAGTTACCTGAAAAAAACTATTGTAGATTCTTTAGAGCCTTTTTAGGGGTGAAGGCTTTTGTTGAGTTCTGTGGCTATCTGTCTAGTAATGATCAAATAGAAAATAAAAAAGATTATATATAATCTAAAATACAGCTTAAGTGTGTGATGGTGGAAACTGGTCTTGTCCAGACTTGAATGATCAGTCTAGTCAAGAGTGAGTCTATAGTTTATTCCTAATCTTACTGTCATCCTCTTATACATATAAAGTGAGGGGATGCTCTACCTTCTTCTTCTGCATCTCCAGAAGTGCATTAGACATCAGAGGATTCTTGTAAATCCTCCAGCTCCCCAAGGATGCTACAGACATCCTCATCTTCTTCCATCAACTCTTCTTTAGATGGCTTCCTGAGAAATGTAGTACAAGTGTATGAATTCATTTGGATGGGCCACAACACAGAGCGCATCAAAATGCACTCAACTCAAGGTCCATCCAAGAATGGATCTAATTTGACCTGCACATAGGTTCAGCATTTACATCTTGTAATTGCATTTTGAACTTACGAATCTGTTGGCCCATTTCCTTTTTTCATTATCATGCCACGGATGTGAAATGGATGTAAAAATCAAGGTCACTGAATAAACAAAATGAGGGGGGAAAAAAATCACAGAGGCCTCTTAGCAAGAAAGGAAACAATATATCCTACCAGAAATATTTCTAAACTAAGAGTAGAAAGGAAACTAAGAAGATAAATGTTAGCAAAGAAACATAATTAATGTTCATTTTGTTTTAAATAGTATAAAAGAATAATAATTTATCTGTGAATTAAGTGGACAAAGATATATAGAAGAACTAAAAGCTACCTATGAGACTAGAAAAAGAACTGAAAGGCTGTAATTTGCTTTTTTGTTCTTGTAGTTGTTTACACTCACCACAACCAGAAAGACATCCTGACAGAAATGCCAACAGACAATACTCCTCCTACAGCCATGAGGAAGAAAAGAATGCACGTTTAGGTGTCATCTCTCCGTAATGGTAACCATTACCCGGGCACCTGTTTGTCCCCTTTATATTGAGAGGAATTGTGACAATTTGAATTTTCTCTACTGATGAGTGCTCCTGACTGAATAGATTCAAGACACAAAACCCCAAAGCTGAAAATCCGTATTTAATTACTTACCTCAGAACTTTGGGACTATACCCAAACCTTTAATATCTCTAACAGCAGTCTCCACCTTCTTTCCTTTTTTCTCTGCTGTGGTGCACTAAAGAGAGCTAACTGTCCTAGTTTCTGCTGCTTCCCCTCCTTTTTTTTCTAAAATGCACGTCTGTATCTCTTTCTCCAGAAAAAATGTACTGATTTGTAGATGGAAAATGGGAGAAAGTACTGTACATCTCAGATTAAGCCAAAAATCTCAAACACAAAATCTTCTGTGATAGAAATGTTCTTTAAAAGATCTTTAAAGAGAAGGGGAGAGTTTTCTGATTATTTACTACTTTTTCATTTAAGCAAGCAAAACATTCACAGAACCATCTGATATCAGGGGGAGTACATATCTGTCTTCTAAAGCTGCAGTCTTCTGCAAGCTGGCTCAAATACTTTATGTTATAAAGACTAATGTGCTATAAAACATGCTGCTTCACTGCAATTGAAAAAGGCAAAATGGTTCAAAATAATTCATTTTTAACACCATAGGACAAATTTTACTGAATAGTCTAAAATATACCAAATTTAATACAATGATTCAGTTCATGTATCTCACTCATCTGAATCCTTTCATTTTCCTTCAAAAATACTGTGGATTTTTGTATTTAGAAGAAGTTATAAAGAAAAGGCATTTGTAACAGATCATCTGTAGCAGCCAACAAATACATTTCAATATTTCATGGATGCTTAGGCCCTTACTACTAAAAATAATTCCAGGACCACATTTTTTCATGACATTATAGGAAAGGCAATAAATTCCTTCCAATCATGATATACATATGGTAGAGACAAAACAGACAAGAATTTTTTTTTTTAAACGATACTTTACCCTTAAGATGTTGCCCAGCATTTTAAGCTATTCTGTTAATGCAGAATTGGAAGCAAAAATGTATTTTTGACGAAACAGAATGGTATGTTTTAAAAAGCATTCATAACATTGTGCTAGCCATTGTGACAGCTAAAATTTTTCAAGTGGCACCCTTCTAACAGCTATCATCCCTGAAGTAGAAAAATGGATGTCCATTCACAATGGTGTGCAAAACAAAGTATTATCATTTTTTGCATATTTTCATTTTATAACATTTTCACTTTATCTCTCATGCTATACACGCATGCTTTTTTCTTTTTTAAGTTCACCTATTTTATTACGCCCTGGGTTCCTCATGTGAAAATGTTACTATTAACAAGTACCGTATTTCCCCCACACAGACTCCCTCTGTGGCTTTCCTTGTGACATTATCTTGTTTGACCAAAGATTAAGTATATTTTTTCTAGACCTTGTGGGCCTTTACTTTTAGCGTACCTGGGTTTGGATTCTGTTGAGCCCTCTGAACCAGAGAATTTGTCCACGTCGAAGTTCTCTCTCTGCATGATCAATTTCTTCAACATCTTCATTGAGCTCTTCTTCAGGGACTTCCTCTTTTTCAGTGAGCCGCCCTGCCTCCTTTAAAAACTTTAGCCTACTTGTTGGGATGGTTGCAATGACCTGAAAATTATATTATTAAAAATGCTGAAAACATAAGCCTCATTCAATAACAACAGTATAACAATCTGCTAATTACAAAAAAGCCCTGATGTTTTAGGGAGACTCATAATCTTTCTGGAAAGCTAAGCTAAGATTTTATTCGTAACAGCGCTTTATATTTATTCTACTCCATTTTAGACCAAGGCATCTTACATAGTTCTTACTATGTAAATAATCAGCATTACTTGCATCAGTACACCACACTGATAATACACAGCTGTGGAGCAAGTTTCAGGCTGGCAAGAAGCGTCATCTTTCCTCAAAAACTAGAGGGAGGATGTAGGTTTGTGAATGTAGTTATTTAAAAGAAACTAAACTAAAGCGGGATTGATACTCCAGTGACTCGACATTTAGAGTTTAGGGATTCCTAGTGACTGATAACAGTTGAGTATCTGTTAATGTGAGCTGAAAATTAGTTGCCTCTCATCCATATTAATCTTCTAACACTGTGCTGGTTCGTGTATTCCTTTGATTCAGCAAATTAAAATGCTCTTTCCAGCACTGATCATAAATGAGGCTTCTAGAGCTGGGGGTTTGAACATCTCCCTGCTGGGCTTTTTGTAAGTCTGTCACTTACTCTGTGTCCTTAGTACTGATATATTCTGGGTAACTCAGTCCTTCTCCCTATTCTTCTTGGCCACCAAAATGCTCCTTGGAAGTAATTAATACAGATGGCTGATAATCTTAAAAATTTGCAAATACTATAATTAGACTGTTATAACACAATTATTTTAAATACATTTCAATAAGTATTGCCCTCTTGGGCAGTCATTTGCTCTTTGTTCTGATTTCTTTTGTCAGCTTGAACAGAAATGTGAACACCTGGCTATTTAAACAAGACGTCACCTGGAAAGCTAAACATTTTGAATGCTTGAAAAAAATCTCCTACAGAGTTAACTATTAGACCCATTTAGCATTTAAGTGCAGCAATTTTATTGATTCTTGTTTCAGCAGTTAAGTGATCAGATCTCTGAAGCCCAAGTGCATGCAAAATGGAGCCAGCTGAAACAGGAAGGCTTTTTTGCAGATATGACATTACTACTGTAGGACATTTGAAACTGAGGAAAGGCTGCTAGTCTGTTGGATGAAGCTATTATCAACTTTGTGATAATGTTTCCTTGGAGATCCATCTTCTGGGTCCATCTTCTTTCGTATGAAACCCTAAGTCTAGGTGCTCATTTTTGCAGCCCTCTTGGCACTGACATTGTCCAGCCCACATAATCCACAGCAAAGGCTAAGCTAAGTAATTCTGAAAATCAGAGCATCAAAGTCACTCCAGCTAAGCAGACTGACTGTATAGAAGCTTTTAAATTTAAAAAAAAAAAAAAAAAAAAAAAAGAAGAAGAAGAATTTTTCCAATTTCCTCACTGCTAATAAATGTTTTTAAAGCTTTGGGTTTTAAAACATGATGTGAACTTGGAAAATTAATGAGATTGATGTGATGTCAGCAAAGACAGAACAGGAGAAAAGAGAAAGGGTGTTAGTCCTTGAAATACTTACTGGAACAGCTTCAGCTTCTCAGCTTTCAAAAAATGAAAATATCAACATTCTACTGAAAGAGTCTACTTAAAATTGTTTGTATAATATCTTATGAAACTGATCTGGATGATGTGCTTGCAAGACAGTATGTATAAAAACAAGCAATCCCATATTTGATAGTGATTCTGCATGATGGCACGTACCTCTTATTCATGACCTCTCTCAGCCAGGCTGACACATTCTGCCCTAATTCTTTTCTTAGGCTGTTTAGGTGTTTGGAGACCAGTTCCCCCGCTCATACCAGCTCCTGATGTCTGGGGCTGCTCCTGCCTGTGCTGAACTCTTAAAAAGACGGGCCAGGAGGGTCCCACCTGCGCTTACCCGGCTCCCACGGTGCTCCGGGAACACCTCAAATGCTTCTCGGGTTTTTCCACAACATAATCAAGGAAATAATATCTTGACCTCCTTGCAACAAAACAAATAGCAAAAAAGGAGGACTGGAATAGACGATTTTATTCATAAGTCTCCCCACAAAAGGGCACATTTATGCCCTGTTCTCATTCAGAGCCTTTTTACTGTAATCTTTCACAAAATATTTCAGTTTCCACATTTATACTTAGAAAATTACTGAGATCTTAATTTTCTTTTAGGATAGTAAAATGTTTCAATTTAAAAAATATTCCAGTTTGCTTAAAATTAGTTTTAGACTTGGAACTGTGAACAAATTGAAAAAAGATCTATAGAGGTGCACTGGTAAACTGTGAAAAGCCCAGAAAAGGGATTGAGGAAAAATCCAGGATAGAAGAACAAGAATGAAAAGAAACTTCAAAGACGTAAGCTTACTGAATATAAAACTTTTGTTCAGTACACAGAAGACAGCATTTAGGGAAGGGAGACATTAATAGTCGTAGAACATATAAAAAGTATGCTAAAGAGGGTAGTAATCAATTACTCAGCATGGGGGAAGGATAAGATGACTGTGGCTTAATTTGAAGCAAACATTTAGGCCTGACATTAGGAAAACCTTGCTAATTATAAGGACAGTGAATTACTGTTACGGGCTACTCAGAGAGACGGCAGAATTCTCCACAATGGAAAATGTAAAGAAGAGCTGTCAGGAAAGGCCTTGGTATCTACGGTTCTGCCTCAGTATGGAAGGGTGACCTGATGCAGACCTGTGTTCCCATGAACTTCCACCCTTATACAGTTTCGAGGAGAGAGAAAACAAGACGACAGCCCTTTGAAATTTTAGTTTCAGGTCAAATTGAGAATTTCATTATTTTCTAAAGAAGAACAAAACTTTGAGAGAGTTTTTAAAAACAAGTTTCATTTTTTTCACAAGTTTTAATGGAAATTCTTTTTCAGTAGCCCTAATTCTTGAATTTTTTTCAAAGGGGGGGGGGGGGGGGGAGAAACAGGTTTGAAAGCTAGCATCTATTCATTATAATTCTTTTGGAATCATTTAATTATTCCAATTGCAATTGAAAATTTCTTGCCTGTTTCTTCACAGTGGCAAACTAGTTGGTCTGTATGCATGTTTGCCTCTGCGAAACAAAATATTAACCTCAGATTTTTTTTTACTATGTCAGGCAGCATCAACTTAAAGCCATTAAAATGCATTCACAGATGAAAAATAAACATTATTATTACTTTTGCAATATGGGGTTGGACATTCAAGGGTAATGTAGTGTTTTAAGAATACTTTGAGTTGTATCTGTACTGTTACTTCCAGACAACAATTACAAAACTGATTTTTCTTTTAAGTACTTTTTTCATCTATATTTAATTTCATATTAGCTAATGGTGGCAAAGGTTTTAGCAGAATTTACAAATGACACCTGGATTAAACTGCACCTTTATGTATCTATCCTAGGAAAAAAGTATTTTTCTTTCACCCCCTCTTCCATCCTTGACAGACAGAAATAGGCGCATGGGAGATCAGATTCACGATTTAATATACGCTCAGGTGTATACTATAAAGGCACAGGAGATGACAATATTTCCTAGTCCTATGTCAGTAACAAGGCTAGCATGAATTGAGAAGACCAGCATTTTCAGCAAGGAAATGAGTGGGTGGACTTAGAAATGGAACTTGTTTTCACTTTCAGAAATTCACCATGGCAGAACATACACACGCTACATTGGGAACTCAGTTGCAGGAAAGTTTATAGTGCATTTGACCCCCCATCTGCAGACCCCTAACACAGAACAGGTAATGGCAGACTCAATAGACTGGGTGTAGACCGAAAAACTAAATGTTATTCCTAGCAAAGCTATCAAACGAAGACCACGGTTTTCAAAAGAGATGAATAAGTTAGGGAACATAACTTGAAATACTTCTGAAGTGCTGAGGGCCACCTTTTGGAAATCCGTGTCCCTCAAAGCACCTCAAATGGGCTTTCCAGAAATTGATTACACCTTAAATTACTTTTGAAAGTGCTGACTTAAACATCTGAACTTGAAAAACATCTAAACATCTAAAACATCTAAATCTTAATTGAGTGTAGTAGATCACAAGACGAGCAGATACAGGAGACTGTGATAAAGGAAAGGGTTAACATATTTGTTTTGTGCTGAACTAGAAAAATTAATCAGAGCAGGAGAGAAAAGGCTAAGAAGAGAAGTGCCTGTTCTGAAGAAAAAGTGTCTCTTACTGTAGCACTAGAGGAGTAGCATTCTACTAGGTAGAATATGCATCCTTTTTTTCTCTATAATCCCTTCACAGAAAGTTGTGCCCTTTGCAGTGATTAAATCATTCAGTTATTCCAATACTAGCTTTAATTAAATGACTAGGCATTTACAATAATATCTGTAACTGTGCCCACCTTTAAATTGAAAACAGATACTGATACTGTAGTTAGCCTTCAAAGTTAATGTAATAACCACATACAACAAAATTTAAATAGTACACTGAGCAAAGGTCATGGAAAATTCATCAAAGTTGAAAGATCTAATAAAATTCACGGGTTTTTCTCCCTTTCCCTGCTTCCCGAAGGTGGTATTTTCCAATTTGCAGGGGAAAAAAAAAAATCTTTTCTTTCCAGGAGCTATCAAACTGACTTTAGGTTTTCCCCAGCAACTGACATAACTCAAATCCTGTCTTGGGGTGATAACTACATAGTGGTGGTTTCCAGCAACACGTACATAAAAGTTGTTACACAGAGCTTATTCCTTTAAAAAAATCTGTAGCCCAGCTGTCCAAAAGGGTTTCCCACTTAATTTTTTTCAAAGGGGGGGGGGAGGGGGAGAAACAGGTTTGAAAGCTAGCATCTATTCATTATAATTCTTTTGGAATCATTTAATTATTCCAATTGCAATTGAAAATTTCTTGCCTGTTTCTTCACAGTGGCAAACTAGTTGGTCTGTATGCATGTTTGCCTCTGCGAAACAAAATATTAACCTCAGATTTTTTTTTACTATGTCAGGCAGCATCAACTTAAAGCCATTAAAATGCATTCACAGATGAAAAATAAACATTATTATTACTTTTGCAATATGGGGTTGGACATTCAAGGGTAATGTAGTGTTTTAAGAATACTTTGAGTTGTATCTGTACTGTTACTTCCAGACAACAATTACAAAACTGATTTTTCTTTTAAGTACTTTTTTCATCTATATTTAATTTCATATTAGCTAATGGTGGCAAAGGTTTTAGCAGAATTTACAAATGACACCTGGATTAAACTGCACCTTTATGTATCTATCCTAGGAAAAAAGTATTTTTCTTTCACCCCCTCTTCCATCCTTGACAGACAGAAATAGGCGCATGGGAGATCAGATTCACGATTTAATATACGCTCAGGTGTATACTAAAGGCACAGGAGATGACAATATTTCCTAGTCCTATGTCAGTAACAAGGCTAGCATGAATTGAGAAGACCAGCATTTTCAGCAAGGAAATGAGTGGGTGGACTTAGAAATGGAACTTGTTTTCACTTTCAGAAATTCACCATGGCAGAACATACACACGCTACATTGGGAACTCAGTTGCAGGAAAGTTTATAGTGCATTTGCCCTCATAATTTTTTTTTTTTTTTTTTTTCTTTCCAGATAATACTACACAAGAAAAATGTGTCCATAAAAAAAAGTAGACAAAGAAGATGAAGACAAACACTTGTTTAATGAACACAATGCTGGAAAGAAAAGATATGAAAATTAACAAAAATCAAAAGGAACAATGGGATAAATTATCTTTACTGCTATCTATTGCTGAAGTACTTAGAGAACTACCTTTATGTGTGCCAAACATGACATTTTGAGAGATCAAGGAAACAGTATACTAGGATTATGAAAAATATTTGTGTGACTGTTTGCAAAATCAGATCTTAAGATCATTTCATAAAAATAGAAGAGAAGAAATCTGCACATTCCTGAATAATGCTTACCTGACCCCATACAAGTTCTCCTAATCCAATAAATACACACCACATCCACTGGTCAAGCTGCAGGGGAGAACAGCTAAACGGTTTTCCTCCAAACTGGACAATTACTATCTACAAAGAAAAGCAGAGACAAAGTGGGGTAAATATTAGGTGGGGGGAGGGACCCTTCCAGTGATATTTTACCTGAGATTTACTTTCTCTTTCTACACATTACAGCCCTGCCTGTTTGATTCCAACATACTTTACTAGTAGAATTGTCAAGCATGTTATTAACCATCTACTGTTTAGCGGATTGATTGTAAAGATCACCCAAAGCCAGAATACCATCTCATGTTCCAAATTTGTCAGTTGACGCTAAGTGGTACTAAGACAAGTTAACAGCAGTCTATCAAAAGTACGTTTTGAAAGCCTCAGAAGCTCAGTCACTGAAAATCAAAACACGCACACTTGCGCACTCTGAATTAAAGGTCAAAAGTGAGTATTATTTCATTTTATATAGAAAATAGCCATACTTAGTTCAGACTAAGGCTTCCTTAGCCTCATATCTAACAGCAGTCACATATGAATGCCCAGGAAGAAAGAAAACAGGACTGCCCCAAAATACTTTCCCAGCATCTGAGCATTCCTCAGCTAGGGGATTTACTGAGCTTGATATAGTTGATTTTGGAATGTCCATTGCACACTTCTGTTACCTGTGTTGTCATGCATAAATTGCCAAAATGTAGTCCTTTTTGAGAAAGAAGATGGAAAAACCACACCCCAAAAGCATGTATTTGTACCTTGCAGAAGGGATAACCAATACATACAGCCAATTTTATAAGCCTGGTTAGACTGAGCTGGTTTTGCTAACTGAAAGTCAGCTTTTACTGATGTTTTTTATTACCAGTGCTGCTGCAGAACCAGCAGCCTGAAATCACAGGCCAGATATTTAAATAGTTAAAGGCTGCAAAATGGAAGTTAAAAATTTTTAATTGTCCAGTCTAAAATATGAAATGATACTAATGTATGAAATGGTTGCCGTCCTATGTGAATAAACAAACACAAACTATGAACACAGACTTATTCTATGTGAAGTGCAAGTATAAGAAGAAAGGTGACAGAGGATGGAAGGCTATGGATAGGAAGTGGAAAAATGACTGGAGACAGTAAGGAAAAAGGAGACCAAACAAAAATCTGTGTCTACGATGTTAAGAAAGACTTTTTAAAAGAAAGATATTACAACTCCACATTGAATTTAGAAATGCTAGATAAGATACGTTTTAATCCATCTACCTCCACTGTAAAGATCTTTCTTACTCTGAAAACAGAGAAGGGACTGAAAAATAAGAGAAAGATACTGTTTGTCTGAGGATAGGAGTAGTAACTATCCTTTGATTTATCAAGCTGCTGAAGCTCTTGCAGAAGCACTGTCTGATCCTTATTAAGCACGTACTATAATAGGCTCCTTGTTTTTACTTTGAAAATTTGGCCACTTTGCTGCCAGCTTTTACTTCTTGGGGGGTGAGGGAGGGAATTTGGGGAGGACGGTTAATTTGAGCTATTGCACTCAAGCGATGAAATGCAAAGCCAGTTAGTATGCACTTCATAGAAAGTGTAGTAAAAATACAGGGAAGTAAAAAGGTTTTAAACAGGAAGTAAAAATAAGACTGTACTTGCCTCTAACACTTCCGTAAACTCACACATCCATCCAACTATGCCAAACTCCCACAAGTAATCACCTTTCTTTGGAAGAAGATGCTTGGCTTACACAACCAGCTACCATAACACATAGTCAAAATAGAAAATACTATTCTGAGATGCTTCAGCATGCAACATTATGCCAAGTTTTATTTCCACAATGTAATAAACAAAGTGGAAAAATTAATGGAAAGAATAACCTTTTATTGTCCCAAGAAAAATGTCCTGGCTTTAAAAAAGACACTGAAGAACAAATAGGACTTAGTACAGACTAAGTACTCTTATCCTGCAGTTTCCTTTTTGCTTCACTGACAGACTGCAAACCTAGTCATTTGGACTATGAACTGAAATTAATACTTCAGCTACTAGGAAAACAAGGGTAGAAGGAGTGGGTAAAATCAGCAGCTGATTCAGAATTATGACTAGCCAGCTGGATGGCACTTTTCCTTCAGCCAAATAGCTGAGTGCTGTCATGCCTAGAACAGGAAAAAAAAAAAAATCCTCTAACACTTCCCATGACAAAAACAATTCAGAGATGATTGTGAATTTTTCAGGCATCTGCTAGAGGCATTCTGGTTCCCGTTCGTAAACGCATCTGTTCTTGAACTAGCTGTTAAAGATCATCACTATCAGGTTCTGGGATGTCATGTCTAACGGACATGACTAGTGTCCTTTCTCCCACACTTAGTTTACTGAGTGATTCCCTTGTCTGTTTTTGAACCGCTGTGACTCAGATTCAGATAGCTCTGTCCTCCTCCTTGCTCCTCCCGTGTGAAGGGGTCTCATTCCAAAATTGATCAATAATGTCAACTTAAGAGAGAGTTCAACTCTCAGCAATTGTGAGGGCCGCAGTAGACTTCTGAAAGGCATTGCTAAGTGGTGCTAACTATAGGGTAGATGCAGACAAATGAAAGGATATAGGACTAAAAGGAGGGATTCAATTTTTTTCTGGAAGAAAAATTAGAATTATTTGGGAAAAATGTGCATTTCTGTAATTACGTTCACACATCATTGGGCCAACAAATTTGCGAGGTGGATGTAAAGAATTACTACCAAAAAGTGGTCCTACCAAGAACGTCAGGTAACCTTTGGTGATGGCCTTTGGACCTCAGAAGAACGGATCAGCATTAGCTATTTATAGGCTATTCATATAGTGGTAAAGAAATGTCAACTGCTTTGTTGCTATTGGTGGATATAATATTAATAATGTCTTCTAAAAAGATGGTTACAATATCAGCAAATCATGATCACTGCTATTATTATATAACTTCAGATCAATTTAAGATTTTACCTAGTGATAATAGTCAAAATTTATGCTGTGTTAGTAAGCTTACATAAAAATTTCCATTATTGACCCAGGTATTGATTGAGAAAACATGTGAAACCAGATGTTTTCCTATTAATTGTGGTTCCTACAGCATTTAGATTGCCAAAAAGTATAAATAGAAAAAAAAAAAACCCTAAGGCAAATTTCTGTTGAATAGTTACTAATTCCTGCACAAGTGATTACCTGAATAGCAAATGTACCCAGTACAATAGTGCAAAAAATAGGATTTCTGAAGATGCCATCAAAGACATTTCTCTCGCCATGGATTTTGCGTGCGTTGATTTCATTGAACAGCTGCATCATGACGAAGGTGTTGAAGATAATGGTGTAGTGCTCTGAAGGAGGAGAGTGAAGTGGTGCATTTCTCCCACTGTCAATCTTAAACATTTTCTCACCTAGATATAAGACAAAAATAAATGTTTCCACTACAATAAAATAATCAAACTTTTTTTTATTACCCGTGTTTGCCTTAGCAGGTTGCCTCCCCTTTGCTCTGTTTTACCAGCTTGCTTTCTGCACTTACTTTAATATAGGCTAAATTCTAAACTGTAGCGAGCAAAAGACATCTCAACTTCCTGACTGAGAAGTTTCTCAAATGATGACTTTTATCTAATAACTCAGTATACCTGCTCAAATAGTTTTCAGTGGTGCTTTTCCTCTGAGTAGTAACTATGCTAAGGATTCAGTTCTTTCTGAGGTACCAAGAAAGAACTGTTGACAGTATGGTTCTCATTTTCTACAACAGTTAGAAGCGTCCATTCTTCAGTAGTTTTTTTTCAGCCATTAACTAATCCAGTATGTCAGAACTCTTGACAAGCATTCAAGCCCAGTAATGATAAAATCACAGACATTCCTGGTTTTAGATTTGTTTTTGATCATTCTGTTGGTCTGCTTTGAAAGCACAATATCGTGAATCACTGTCTGTTTTGATACACTGACTATCACTTTTAGAGCTGACTGTTAAAAGAGTATAGTACCTCCCATGATGACTAGCTGTAAAATGTGGTAAGGTTTTTGAAAAGATACCTGCACCAGATGGACCTCTTTTCTTATACCCAAAGTTTACAGATGACACACGATAATCAAAAGAGGCACTGTCTTAAAATAAGGCTGGGGCGTTCATATGAAAGAGTAAATAACAAATAAAACTTAAATAAAAGTAAAGATGGCTATGGAAGTAGCTCTCAGTTACATGGGCAGTGTGTTTTTAATTGAAAAAAAATTTTCTGCTATCTCACTAGTATTATAATTTGAATTTCTGAACAAAGAAGAAAGGTTTCCTCAGGTTTATCTTGAACCTTGTGAGGTCATAATTCCACCAGCTAAGTTATCATTCAGGTTTTTTTGCCTTGGGATGTTTAAGTTCATGTTCAAGTCACAGGGAATAAAAAGTTTAGCTCCAGTAGAAGAATTCGGTTTATAGTCTTTTGACAGAAAAACTGTAATATCATGAATATATCATTAACACAATGTGAAGCCACAAAAGTTGGGCTGTGAGAGAGCAGAGATTTTTAAGCAGATTATACATCTACAGGGAGACTAACAAAGTATTGGGAAACACTCCTTCCATACATACAAACAATAAGTAAAAAGTGAATGAAAGCAAATAGATGTAATAATTTTATATTTATATAAACACACACACACATAAAATCATTACATCTATTTGTTTTCATTCAATTTGCATTCAGTATACATGCACACAAATACATGGGTGATACTTTCCTCAGTGAGAATGCCTATTCTTAACTCTCCCATCATTGCATTGCATCATTTAATTGGTAAAGCTGAACGTGCTGCTATCATGCAGTGATAGAGTTTAAGCTCACATCCGTTTTTTATTTCTGAACATATTCCAAACGTCATTACAGAAATAGATTAGCTTTCAGTTTTTTAGGCCGAGATCAGGAGCGGAGGTTGAGATTTTTTATTCTACAGTTTGACAGAAACAGACAACGACGTCTCAGTTTCTGATGCCCCAAAGATATCAAAGGTCATTATGTTCAAACACACTGGTAAAATATTTATTGCCATGTCACAGAAAAAATAGGGAAGAAAGGCAACATGAACTTGACATACTGGTCTCTACAGAAACCTAAGACAAAAGATTAAGTATTAGTTAATCAAAATAGAAACAGTTCTTACTAATTTTGAATTTATTTATTGAAAACCTGAGTTTAGAATATTGCCTAGCTGCTTAGAGGTCACTGGAAAAAAGAAAAAGGACCCATCATCTTCCCCTCAAGAATTTACTTCAGTCACATAATTGACAGTGAGGAAAAGCACTGTTTTCCGTCCCCAGCAGATGAAACTGAGCCTCTTAAAGTTTACAAAGGAAAAGACTGAATTTCCTAGGCTTATGAGGAAGTTGGGTGGGCTGTGACCTTCAAAGTACTGCATGGGGTCCAGAGACACACAGAAATAATCAGAGTGGGAGGAAGGCCCGGTTTTCTTTTCATCAGGGCTCAGCGTAAAGTTTTTTAACCCTCAGTACTCATCAAAAGCCATGAGAACTTCCCATAAAGTTCACAGAACTTTTTGCTCCAAGATTCATATCACATGAATGGGCAAGAGCGTGTGTGCTTGTTCTGGAGGATCTAAAAATGACAATTTTAGTAGGCTCACAAGACGTTCTCAAAATACACTGTAAGCCTAACATGATACTAGAGATCACCTCTCTCCAAAACTTGCCAATCTCACTTTAAATAGCTCCAGTATAAACAGGCCATCGCTTCCTTTGAGCATCCTAAATAAGCTCCTAGTTATTGCTAAGGTGCAAGGAGCAAGACTTCCGCAAATGAGATCAAAAACCTCTTAAGATTTTTACAACCACAAATTTACATTTACAGTTTATATGAAAGTCTGTATTTAGCTGATAAAAAGAAATCTGAAAGAAAACATGCAGTTTAACAGCAATGGTATTGTCAAGTGCACAATACCCAGTTGATAAAGCTATCAGCCATTTAAGCAAATTCCTTTCATTATCATGGAACAGCAGCAATCTGTTATTATCCCCTACTCTTCCCTGCAATAAGAAGCATTCCTCCTCCTTCCCTCCCCTCTGCCATATACAACCTATAAAAAGCATCTGTTGCTAGCAAGGCCTGAATAAGAGTCCAGAAGTAACAGGGTAAAAATAATTAGATATTTGTTTTCATTTAGAACCCATTCTAAGTATTAAAAGCCTTATTTGTATCATCTAGTACTGATTGCTTGCTTATCTATACTATTTAAGTTCCACATTATTTCTTGATAGACTATAGCAAACATTTTGCTCCCTGATTAGAGCATCTCCAGGTATGGGTAAAATGGATTTTGATTTTTGTTGGTTTTGTTTTATCTTTTGTTAAAGATGACAAGTCCCAAAATGAAATTTCACTACAGAAAGAGCAGGACAGATACTCTGATTAAAATATAACCTTTTATGTTATGTCTTTACAAATACTGCCAAAGCCCAAACCTAGATTTTGTTTCGGAGGCCAAAAAAAAAAAAAAAAAAAAAAGGAAAGAGGGCTTTCCCAGTGCAAAGAACATTATGAGAGGTGACTAAACTATCCCCTTTTTACCTTATGACCCTCTCCTGGGTCTGTTAAGTTTCATGTAATGTTTCTGATCCCACTGTTCAGCTCAGTCCTGCTAGCTGTTCAGCTCTGACAGGCTTAATATGTGCATGAAGCAGCTGCATTTTGACATGTCAGGCTACAGAATCATGCTGCTTCTAAACCAAGCAAGCAGCCTAACAAACTTTCTTACCAACAAAAAGGAGCGTGAATATGAGAGTAAGCTGATAAACAGCATGGCCCAGGATGTTCTTCATCATGGTGCGTGATATAAGGGGCTTGTTTCTGCCATATGGCTTTCGTAGCAATAGGGCTTCTGTCGGGGGTTCGGTGGCCAGTGCAAGCGAGGCGAAGGTGTCCATGATTAGATTGACCCACAACATCTGCACAGCTTTTAGAGGAGAGTCCTGTGGAGACACATTAGAAAGTTACCTATGTCCTAGAAAAATAAATGTGGTCAATTCATTTATTGTGTTTGCATCTTACTGCAAGCACTGTTGAAGACAGGGTACTGAAATACATGAACCTTTGGTCAGTCCTAGGATGATCCTTTTTGTATTTCTGATGCAAGAAATGCACAAGAAATACAAAATACTCCTTTTTCTGGGCAAAGATAAGTGATTTCTCTCCAGTCTTTTCAATTAGGAATATTTACAGTCCCACAAATCTTACAGAATGTAACATTATCCACTTTAGAATTCCTTTTATAATATGCTGTGTTATTTTGTGCGTCATGGTTGAATTTTCAGCTAGATTTAGGTAACTGTTTTTTTTCCTGGAAGAAAAATTAAACGGAAACAATGTAAAAAGTCAGGTTTCACTTAATTACAATTTACTTATCTGCTTTTTGGAAACAACGTGATATTATTCAAAAATGATGGAACAATTACTAAGACATTTTAGTACATGTCTTACTTAAATCAGACCTTTTAAAAATAGTTAGGAGAAAAAAACCTGAGTATTTGCGGTAAAAAAAAAAAAATTCAGAAGCTCATTAAAATATATCAAAGCCTTAAAAGTAATAAAATATTGATCCATTTACTGAATTACAGGATAGCACATTTGAAATTAGGAAACAACTTTACTACTTGTCAGGATTAAGTATTTCTATCTGAACCAGATCACCAGCCACTAGAAGGAGCTCTTTCCTCACTTAATTCAAGAAGGAAACAGTCTATGCTCGTTCTACAAAGGACTTTAGATGATGTTTAGAACAAAACAAAATTAAATAAATATCAAGATAAATCTGTACTAGTTGATGACTAATATATATTAGTAGTTGATGACTACTAGAAGGGTTTGGCTAATGATCTCCGTCCCTAATTCTTTGGGGCAGTTGCACTACATTGTTGCAATCACTTCTGGGAGCCATATCAGAAGAAACAAAGTAGGTTCTTTTGTAATTCACAACTTTTTGCGCCTTTAGTCTAAACATAAAACAGGCTGCATTATTGAGATCTGCTTTCTGTTTCAGAAAAACGTTTTTTCTTAGGAAAATAGAAATCTAAAGGAATGGGATACTGATCTGACAAAATTTATAATAGAAGGGAGTTAATCTACAATGTGAAAGTTTGAAGTTCAGAGCACTATTTTTATGCCTTGTATTTTATCATGGCACATCAGTGAAGGAAGGAAGTATATGGGACAGGACACAAGCCAAATCAAATCCAATCAAAAGGAAGCATTGCATTTTTACATAAGTTCAAATAACGAGGGCCAATATCCATTCCGTGTCCAAAGAAAGCACAGAGAACAAGGGCAAGTGGTTTAGTATCTGTTGGGTTTGGTTTATATTTTAACTCTCCCTCAAGTTAAGGTATTTTTTCCTTTTGGAAATATTAAAAAAAACCTTAGAGATTTACAGCTGTTTTGATACAAATGATTTTTAAAAGTTCATTTTTTACTTACTCAAGGGAAATGAGAAAAGCTACCTACTATTTCTAAGTCTTACAGGTTGCATACACCAGGGAAGAGAGGATGATTAGTCTTTGTAGATTCTAGTCAGGGGATGCATTGCCTAGGTTTATCTGGCGAGCTTAGCTCACGCATTTGATATGCAGTTGCAGAAAAAGGAAACACCTGTATTTTTTTAGAGGTGCCTAAAAAACTAAACCAAAAACAATCATGACAAACTTTGTCACAAATTTGAAATCTCCTTAATTTTTATTAATACTGATGGCTCAAACAAGGAGGGTACTTGTACTAAAAGCAGTTTGTTGACAGGACTCAGAGAACCAGAGAGCTTGACACAGTATACAGAGATAAGGAAAGCGTGTTTTCCATTGAAGAATTTGCCTTGTTTTACCTGCCTGGTTAATAAGTTTCTTTTCAGAAACATTGTCCGGTTGGAGATGTTATAGAAGGTGAATTTGCTGCTTCAAGTACTGACTTCTGTGTCAACAAAACAAATTTGTCTGTTATGCCTAATAAACAGAGCCAAGTATTCAGGTGTCTATCAGAACCTGACATATTCCTAACATAACGAGAAGTCAGATTCTCTCAGTCTCTAAATCTGTGAATTCCCTCTGTCTCTAAATCACACAACTGTAATTGGCAGTTTTGGCAACAGCATGTTCTCACCATTTCACACTGCCAATCACCTTGGGTGGCTAGAGTGCCTCTAATAATTATCTATTATTGGCAGTGCTACGCTGTTCAGTCAAGTGTGAAAGCTCATTCTAAGCTGAAGCCAAAACATTAAATACACATTAGTCTGAGCAGGCAGTGGAATGAAATTTCCACTGCAGCTCTATCTGATTTCTGATTAGTTGGTGGAAACTGAGGAAAATGCCTATCAGCTAAGGAGCTTTACCTTCCATTACAGATTTTAGTTGCTTATGCTGTGCAAGTGAGATGCAAATTCAATGTTCTTTTCCCTGTATTTTGGCCACTAACTGAGTAGCCAAAGAATTCCTCATTCACTTTCTGACAAACTTTGCGGATGAAAGCTGTTCAAACTGCAAACCACCCAAAATCACCACTTATTTGTCAAACTCTTTGCCACTTGACCTTGGAAGAGGTTAGCATTGGCCTAAAGGTAAAAGGAAAAAGCCCCTTAAATCAAGTGATGTTACGCTTCATCTTGGAAACGCGTAAAAGTACAAATCACCAACGGCTGGAAATAAACTACAAATCCTTTGTGACACACAGAGCCTCACAAATTTTAGAGCTTGTTACTTTTGATTTAGTTGACAAGCTGTAAGGGAATATAAAGGTGTTTCTGCTCTTACCTCTTTGCTCCCATTCATCACAGAACACACGCACAGATTCACAAAAATAAGTGCTTCTAGTAGGTTAACTTTATATACATTTATGCAAAAATTTTCAGTCTTCACTTAAGCTGTTGCTAAAATCACACTGTCTACAAACTGAACAGAAGCAGCATCCTTGATTCTACTTCTGCGCCTCTCAGTCTTCAAGAAACCCAGCTGAACAATAAATACTTTGATTTTATATTATGGCTTTTTTAAATTTGCCAGTACCATTTTTTTAGGATTTGCCAAGAGCAGGTCTACAGTAAAAACTAACCATGTAAATTACTGCCTTACACATGTAAGTATACATCATCCTCATTTTTTGAACAAGGTCTGTAGAAACAGTAAGTGATTCATGCAGTAGTTCACTGTGCTTTTTAATTAACATTTAATTTTCCAAACATAATGCTCTATAGAGTCACTGTTTTCAGTTCCTAACTTCTGCTAAAACATTAAGTCTTTCTCTAAGTACAAGAATAATAATTTGAATATAAAATGTTAAAAAACGGGCTTTGTTTTGTCTTACTTTAGTGCAGCCTTTTCAAATAGCTATATTGCCTCAACAGCTGGAGATAGAGATTTGAAATTTGGTATGGAAATAAACCTGCTAGCTTTATAGTTCCGGTTAAAAACTGTTTCCATTTGACTGAACTGTATGTTTTTAACAGCTTATTTCATATATACACCGATTTTTTTTAACGGCTGCATATAGAACGACACAGTATTTTCTTGGCACTGTGTATATGTTGGGGAAAGGAAACTGAGTGAACTTTCTGATCTCGTGAAGGACGTATGGAATTCCATATGATACTTGAAGATGTGGAGCACTGACTCACTGAAAGTACAAAACTCACAATAACCGTAGGCAGAGCTCCAAAAAAGAACCCTTACTGAATGAACCAAGGACTCTGCAGCCACGTTATCCAGTAAATGAGGTCAGAACATGAAAGAATCTGTAGCTCAGTAATGTACTGGAAAAAGAAATCAGTTGGTTTAACCTGAAGTAATGCTTGCTGAATAGAAAGGACAATTATACACCAAACTGATGTCATTAGTGAGTGTGGCATGGTCACCGGACACACAACTAAGAGCTGTAGGCTGAGCGCTCCTGATTCAGCTGTTGATCAAAATCTTCTCTGAGCTTGGTTTTCTCGTTTGAGCAAGATCTCAAAGTGCTTCATCTAATCACAGAGCTACAATGCAAAAGTTCATTATTAGTCAAAAAGTCTGAATTTTTGGCTTGTAGATTGAGCTGCTATAAGCTGAAAAAGGGACTCATGTAAGTTAGATTCCTCAGAAGGGCAGCTTAGTTCTGGCAGCAGTCTCCCTGAGGTTGCCATCACATGGCCCTAACTCTGTAATTCCTGTGCCGCTTTGAACGTGACTTCTCTCACTCTACTAGCATGACTTCATGTTGGGACCCATGGCAGATAGGAAAAAATTGATTGCAGTGGTCCCGTTTCATCTTCTGCATAATAAATTCCTTCATGGCCCACTGCTAGACCTTTATAATCTCCACATAATACCAGAGTGCATCTACATGTACATACACTCCAGACACGTAGGAGAGATTGCACTGGGAAACCAGGACAAAAGAGAAATATTTATATTTTCTCTGCCAGCAGCACCTTGCTGAAGCAGGCATTAGGCAGATAAATGAAAAGCTGTTTGATTAACATTAAAAGAATTAAGCTAAACAATAGTTCCTGCAGTGGAACTTGGCAAGGACACTGATTTTATTTATGTATTTGAGAAAAAAAGCAGTAGACACTCCCAGTGATCACTAATGGTCGCAGACCCTACCTAGTATTTTTCTAAAGTCTCTCCATGACACATCTAAGGCACGGTGGAGCAAAAAGAAAGAATTCCTACTTGGCAACGCATCCTCTGTGTGCTCCTTGGAGGTCTCATTTCACTAATAATAGTACTCACACGGCTGGACACTTTCATTAATATAGAGCTGCACTGATTTCACTAGGACTCCTGTAGAGATAGGACCATATGCACATATTTACGTATACACAGATGCAAGTGCGGTATCAAGACTGAATAAAATTAAGTCTATTCAGTTGCAGACGACAACCAAGTGTTAGGAAAATTAGCCAAAACAAAGATTTGAATGTCTCTGTACCTTCAAAAGCCCGAACAGAAGAAACACCATAAAGGGAATCGTTAAGTATAAATGAAGTCTTATGTTCAAAGCACCCCAGTATGCAAGTTCTGAATTCCAGGACAAATTTTTTGAGAGCTGACATTAGGCAACATGAAAGAAATTCTAAAACCTAATCAGAAGTTTTCTCACTCTAGATATGAGGAAACATCACAAAAAGGGTAGCCTGTTATAACATTAACCTGTTAACTGTAGAATAAAACTATGTTCTGTGTGTCAAAAAAAGCCAAACTGACTGTGTAAAAGCAAAGTAAAATTCAGTCCAGTGCAGACCTTCATTATATTCATTTTCAAGGTCACAGAAAGCTGTGTTGCCTCTCGGAAACTATGGATTTTCACTCCATTTATTTATTCAGAACGTAAATGTTTCAGTCAAAATTATAATTTAAGATCTGCATAGAGTTTTGCAGACTATTATATCTATTTGTGTGCACCTAGCCTGTTGTACCCCAGATTTTTCGGGATAATCGTGCATTCTGTACTAGAGCTATTTTTATAGCAACCAGAGGGTACAGTATGTTCCCACGGGTAATTTTTATTAAAGCTTATAAGCCAAACAGACATAACGAACGCCCTTTCACTGGCTAGAACCTTTAAGTCAAAGCCTAACATCGTAATGCTCATTCTTAGGCAAGATCCTTGTTGAATGAGCTAGAAAGGAGAACTGCCTGAGATTATCAGCACTCAGGTAGTTGCGCATAAACAGGAAGGGAAATCAGCTGTTGCTTTTTTGCTACAGTTCTAATTTTAGAGCCTTTCAGAACTCTTCTTTTGGATTTGTGGTTTTAGTGGTGAATTAAGGAATGGCATAAGAATCTGCTCAGGGTAGAAATGCAGAAATCCTAGGAGGCGTACGCTAAAAAACCTCTAAACAGCACCAGCAGGCTAGGCAGATTCAGCATTGGTCTTCCTTCTAGGCCACCGGAGCAATACACACACGTTGGGCCTGATCCAAATCCTTTTGGAAGGCAATGGAATGATTCAAGGAAGGACGATGAAGTCCAGAATTAGAAAAGCTTCATGCTTACACTGAACATGCACTTTACAACCACTTAGACCTCCTTGAAAACAGTCTTTGCACTCAATATTAAGTTGAAGCTCTTCAAGAGTAGAAAAGAAATCTGTTAGTTGACAAATCAAATATATATCCTTTCGTTCTTACAAAAGCAATTTAAAATCACTGAACACTAACCAAAAAAAATTCACCTTAAAAGAAACGTTAATAGGTCGCGACTGAATGTCTGTAAAACAGGGGTTTAAAAGGAAGTGGTCGTCTCAGTTCCAGTTATGGTATCCTTACCATGTTGTTATTAACACTTTTTTCTATGTTATTTTGTACCATTGATAAAATCCAGAAGGATTTACCTTCCAGACTTTTAGTCACTACTCACGTACTCCTTGTTACCAGCAACAATCACTCACTCATAACTAAACATTTTCTCAGTGTGCTTAGAAATATTTCCCAAGGGAAGAGGCAAAGTTATCCAACCTCTGTCTCAACATCCATTATTCTGTCTCTTTAGCACAGGCTCAGTTATGACAATAAGGCATAATCAAAACCTGGGAGCAGTGTGGCAGGGCACAAGCACTTAGCAGCTCACAGGCAATTCTTTACTTCTGGCAAAAGAAGTGAACTGAGGTTTCAGCGCTTCCTTTGTACAGAGTATAGTAGTTACTTCACTTGGTCAAGATCACTTCCACTTGCTTCATAAAAGGCCATTTCTGATCTCTCAGTGAATCCGTCCAAGTTCTAGTCTCTTGCTTGCTTAGCTCAGAGGAGCTAGATGTGTAAATGATGATGTACAGTTGTGTTCGTCCAGCAGTTGTGAGGGTGCTAGCAGAAGCTGAGGCCTTGCAGACTCTTCATGCTCAGCGCAGATGAGGCCTCTTACTGTCAGTGAAGACTTGGGAGAAATTTGACGTCATAATTGTGTAAAGGCACCTGGGTTTCCGGTTTCAAGTAGCAATTCCATGATTACAATGTAAGTTTACCCTAGAGCACAGCTCATGACTTATTCATTGTTTTGCTCAGGTGTGCATGGGATGGAATTTACCTGCTGGAATGGGTACGTGCATCTGTATGATGCACACCACAGGCAAGCATCAGCTTTCCCACAGTGTGTCTCAATCCAAAAAGGCATTTTGTGACAGCACCTGTCTGCAGCACTTGAGGCTTCTCTTGAAATATACATTATTTTAGGATTGGCCAGTGACAGTACTAAAACCAGCGTGTTTTGCTGTTTTCTAATGAAGGAGAAAAACCTCATGCTGCACTAAATGCTTCCTGTTTTCTTGTAGAATAAAAGAAAACTTAATTTTTATTAATGAAGAAGTAGTAATTTGAAGGAAACGTTTGTTGTTTGCTTTTGTAAAAGACCGAGATATGTTACATGCACACCAGGATTGCAATAGAGATTAATCTGGAGGGAGAAAAAGAGACTGGGGTCCAACTGCATGTGTCATGTCATCGTTTTATTTGCCCTAAAATTAAAAGTGCTCGCCTTAAAGCAACAAAATAATTGTCTTATCATCAGTCGAAAAGCTTCCTCGTTAGGATTACTTTTGTATGTCAGCCCTTCCATCTTGAAAATAACAATCTTGTTCCATAATCCATAAAGAAAGATGCATTTATATAGTGAAATATTCTAGAGGGAAAAGGCAAAGACACCTAACCTCTTCTTTCTTCCATTCCCTGGCATTTTCTGTCCTATCACCCCAGGCTCAGTCATGACAATAACACATAATCAAAAACAGGGAGCTGTATGGAGGCAGCACCAGAATTAGCAGCTCCTGAAAGCAGTTT